TGGGCACCAAGGGTGCTGCCAGTCCCCTGCACTTGGTGGGTAGGCAGAGACAGGGAGAGAAGGCCTGCTGGGACAGAGGCTGCCACCAGCAGTCACGCCACCCCAAGCCCAAGCTCCTGCTGCTCGCCAGCCCCGGCACAGAGAGAGGCGGAGTTACTCCCGAGACTTGTCACCGCGCTGACACGCAGTGTCTGGGAGAAGGGGCCAAGTGCCCCTGGGTCCTGAGAAGAGATGGCAGGGGTGGGCATTTGGTGCAGCAGCTAAGAGGCCGACAGGGACGCCCACACCCCATTTCAGAGTGCCTGGGTTCGGGTTCTAGAATCTCTGCTTCCAGTCCAGCTTCCTGCCAATGCACACCCTAGGAGGCGGCAGGTGATGGCTCAAGCTCTTGGGTCACTGACACCGACGTGGGGTCCTGGCCTTGGTCTGGCTCAGCTCCAGCTGCTGCAGACATCTGGTGAGTGAACAAGCAGGTGTGAGATCTGCCTCTCAAATGAAATGATTTAAAAAGAGAGGCTGGGCGTCGGCCCTCCCATGTCCGGGCTGAGCACTTCATCCACGAGGGGGCAGCACCGAGGCTGCACGTGGAGGGAAACAATGCTCTGCAGGGGGTCTAGGCTTGGGAGGAGTCGCAGGCCAGAAGGCGCAGTTGCTGGGCCGAAGAAAGGGCCTTTCCCAGCTCCAGCCTCCCACAGCCGAGTTGTTGAAACTGCTTCCGAATCTGCTGCAGCGTGGGGCTGTGGGACGGGGAGGCTCACAGCCGGAGATGGCGGGGCCGGCCGTGTGCACTGTACAAGGTGGGCACCCCCACCACAGCGCCACAGGGCACCTGCTGGGTATCATCAGGGCGGCCCTCACCCAACCTCAGCCAGAGACTGCTCCGGCAGGTGAGTGTGATGATGGGCGGGCCCCTCCAGGCTCCCTCTCACACATCACTCAGGGAGACCTGGGTCCAGGGGTCCCCACCACACCAGGCCTGCGCTGGGACCCAAGAAGGCAAGGATGCTGCACCCCCAGAGGAACCCAGGCCGCCAGGTCTGATGGCGTCCCCACTGCCCTCTCACGTGCCGCGCCCACCTCAGTGAGGCTGCGGGGCTGCACACACCCACCCGGCTCCCCTAAGCCTGCCTTCCCCTTAATGCGTATTTGCTTCTTTCATTCTTGGCTCCCCAATGAGAACGTCAGCCCCACGGGGCACAGTGGCCACAGTGTTGTCTGCTTTGCTCCCCATGTGGCCTTGGGTACCCGGGTGACTTGGTGACACTTCCAACATTTCCTGAATGAGGAATGAATGAACGCAGGAGTGAAGGAAGGGGGGAGTGTTCTCTAATTGCCTTGATATTCCTCCCCACCCCACCTGCTGAGTCCTGCTCTGTTCTCCGTCTGGCCACCTGGGGCTGAAGGCAGCACCTAAGCCTGGCTGGCCAAGCCAGCTTCCACTGGGAGCACACTGCTGAGTGGATTCAGTGGGGCAGCGACCTCCAGGGGCCGCCAAGGACAACAGCGCTGCTTGAGGGGAGGGGAGCGCTGTGGAATTCACCTTCCAGCCATTTCATTCCACTTCTCATTTCTGCGTGGGCGGCCGGCCTGCCTTTTCTCCCACCCTTCTCCCAGTCCAAGGACCAAGTTCAAGTTTTTAGAGCAGTAGAGACCTCTTCAGGTGAAGAAACGAAAGCACAAGACCAATGAAGTCGACTGCCCAAGGTGTCTCTCTCTCTCACATACACATACACACACACACAGAGGGAGCTCATGAACCAGGATCAGATAACGCAAGGGCAGCTGTGGGCGACCTCGGGAGACCCCAGGCTGGGGAAGGAGAGCGCCAGCTTACCTCCCCTCTTCCCCACATGCTGCTCCAGTGGTGAGGAGGGTCCAGGGTGCGCAGCACAGATGTGAGCAGAGCTGACAGAGTGGCTGGGGACCCCTGCCCCTGAGGCAATCCTTGCTGGTTCTGCTGGGGCCTGTGTTCCAGACAGCAGCCCCCGGAAGAGGCACCACACGTCCTGGCCCACTGTACCTCCCCCAGCCCCAGCAAGTGATGGGGGCCTCACCCTCTGTGGCTCCTCCCTCACTGCTGCCCAGGCAACTCGGCCAGCTTTTGTCCTGCGAACGTGCAGCTGAGGGGCAGACCCAGACTCCCCGGTCTCTGAGCAGCCTCCCAGAGCTCAAAACAGACCCATGAAAGCCCCACTTTGGGGACGACCTGGAACAGAGGGTGATGTCCCATGCCCACTGCCTGACCTTCAGGCCAGGCTCTTCAGCAAAAGGCTTCCAGTAAATGACCCCCGGGAAGCAGGTGGTTTAGGAACATGCCAAGGTGATGTCTCCCGGCCTTGTTATTTATGTCTGAGGGTGCCGGCTGACGTCCAGTTATTCCCACAAATGTGGGCTTCGGGCTGAACGTGTGCCCACCTCCCACTGCCAGAGATTTGTGAAACTTCATGTTGTCCCTCCCCTGGGTGTGGCCAGGAAGCAGCCACTCAGGGGAACAGAGGACCCTTGATCTGTCTGCAGGAGCACAAACTGCTAGATTGCACCCCAAGCCAGCCACATGGTGAGCAAACGTGTTTTCAGGAGAGCTGGAGCCCCTGGGTGCTGTCCAGGGAAGAGGGGCTCTTACAGCAGTCAGTGATGAGCAGAGAACCAAGCCACTCCTTCAGGACAGACAGGGGTGGGGGGTGGGGAGTGATGTTGCACAGTGGTTAACACATCCCACATCAGAGCGCTGGTTCCAGTCCCGGCTCCTTTGCTTCCGATCCAACTTCGGCACTTGGGAAGGCAGGAGATGATGGCCTAAATACTTGGGTCCCTGCCACTCTCCTGGGAGACCCAGTTGAGTTTCTGGCTCCTGGATTCAGCCTCATTTAGCTACAGCTGTTGCTGCTGTCTGGGGAGAGAAGCAGTGGATGAAGATCTGTGTCTGTCTCTCACTTTTTCAAATAAATATTATTTTAAAGGACACACATACTCAGGAGACATTTTTTCTCTTGAGATCTCAGCAGTAGCTATACATGAAGAGCAGAGAGCTTTGAAAATTCCTGAAGTTCCGATCCCACCCAGGTCCTGCAGGCCAGACCCACAGGGGATCCGGGCACCAGTGCCTTCAGCTCCTGGGGTGATTCCAATGCACAGCTGTAGCGGGAACTGTGGTTGGAACAGACATGACTGAAGCCGTAAGTCCGTCCCACTCTGAAAGGGACCAACACTGCGTCCTTACAGACACGGATGTCTTCAGCTCTATGCACCACCTTGTCAGTTAGCCCTAGTACCACCTGCCCATCCGAAAGGGAGGCAGACTATTCTGGTTACAGACTGAGAATTAAGCAATGCATGGAAGCATATTCCCCATTCTTTTCTGTTTCTGCCAATCTGCATTAAAGAGTATACTTTTTTTTGGACAGGCAGAGTGGACAGTGAGAGAGAGAAAGAGAGAAAGGTCTTCTTTTCCGTTGGTTCACCCTCTAATGGCAGCCGCGCTGGCGGACGCACTGTGCTGATCCGAAGCCAGGAGCCAGGTGCTTCTCCTCGTCTCCCATGCAGGTGCAGGGCCCAAGGACTTGGGCCATCCTCCACTGCACTCCTGGGCCACAGGAGAGACCTGGCCTGGAAGAGGTGCAACTGGGACAGAATCCAGCTCCCTGACTGGGACTAGAACCCGGTGTGCCAACGCCGCAAGGCGGAGGATTAGCCTAGTGAGCCATGGCGCCGGCAGAGTATACTTTTCCACTTGTCAGCCCGAGTTTCAACAGACTTAAACCCTCTCATCCGCTGACCTGTTCACACCCTCATGGGCATGCACGCCTCATGGTGTCCCAGGTCAGGGACAGACGTGCACCATGAGAACACAGCTGCGGCGACTCTTCTGAAGGGCAGGCCGCAGCGCCAGCCTCTGAATTGGCGGCTGAACTGCCACAGGACACTGTCCGCTCTCAGTCACACCACCCACTATGTCCTGAGCTAGAAGGTTCCACACGTGCATGCCTGCCACCTCCAACTAACAGTGCCACAACCTGTCCCCAACCCCACCTTCCACGTGTATGCCTTGCCAGCCACCCTCAGGCCCAGGGAAAGCAAAGGCAGAGAAATATATCGCCTTCAAAAACCAATCTAAAACATTATTTATTTGACTACAAATCGTATCTGAAGTAAAATCTCAACTCTTAGGAGAAAAAAAGACTATAAAAGTGCTAAGGAGGAAATAAGCTACATTAATTAACAGGGTTACTTCTAAGACTGAGACTAGAGGTATTTCCCAACTCCGGTCTGTTTTCTGAAAACTTTTTTATTTATTTGAGTAAAGACAGACAGACAGATCCCATTTGCTGGTTCACTCTCCAACTGTCTGCAACAGCTGGGACTGGGCCAGGCTGAAGTCAGGAGCCTGGAATCCATCTGGGCCTCCTACACGGGTGGCAGAGGCCCAATTACTGGCATCATCATGGCTGCCTCAGCAGAAGCTGGGATCAGGCGCTAGATCCAGGAACGGGGTACCCTGAACCTGGGACATGGGTGTCGGAGCTGGGATCAGGAGCTGGACCCAAGAACGAGGTACCCTGAACCTGGGACGTGGGTGTCGGAGCTGGGATCAGGCGCTGAATCCAGGAACGGGGTACCCTGAACCTGGGACGTGGGTGTCGGAGCTGGGATCAGGCGCTGGATCCAGGAACAGGGTACCCTGAAACTGGGACATGGGTGTCGGAGCTGGGATCAGGCACTGGATCCAGGAACAGGGTACCCTGAACCTGGGACGTGGGTGTCCGAGCTGGGATCAGGCGCTGGATCCAGGAACAGGGTACCCTGAACCTGGGACGTGGGTGTCCGAGCTGGGATCAGGCGCTGGATCCAGGAACGGGGTACCCTGAAACTGGGACGTGGGTGTCGGAACCAGGAGGGAAAATGCCTGCTCCTAGCCCTTTTTCTTATGATTTTTTTTTGTCACTGTAGTTCACTAACTTTCCAGAATGAGCATTATTACCTTTAAAGTCAGACAATAAACCTGAAGAACTTCCGAAGTTTAATCAAAAATAGAAGCCAAGTCTAGCAATCACTTCAAGCACTCTAAAATTCAAGAGAATAAACCTTCTCAAATTACCTCTCCCCGGACGCTAAAGGGGGCCATGCGCCCTTTCACGAGGACTCCAGGGAGGGGTCAGCGATTTCCACGCTGCAGAAGCTCAGCAGCAGCGCGTGCGATCCAAGGCAACACTCACAGCCCGGAGGAAAGATGATGCAAATGCAGAGCACGCATGTCTGGAAGACTCAGTACACCAAGTGTCTTCTGTCGTGGAAATCAATTTACAAGCGTCTGTTCCACTCCATGCCCTTGGCCTCAGGCCTATCTGCCTTGTCCACATGGGTGTTCCGAGACCTGGCAGGCAGAAGTCAGGGTCCCCTCAAGCGTCCAGGCTTTGTGTGTGTCCTTTGTTCTCCTCCAGCCTGGGCTGCTTCAGCTGTGGGGGACTGTCCTGAGGGTCTCCAGACATCTCTGAAACAGTAACAGACAAGGTTGGCAGGGAAATGAAGACGGTGGGGTATCCAGAGCTGCTGTTTACCACAGAACTGGGAAGAGGCACTGAGCAGGATCAGGCCGGGCGGGATCCCACAATGCTGCAGGGGAGGATCTTTGCCACTGCCTCTCCACCTGGCCTGATTCTGCCTCTCCAGGAACAGTGGGCAATGTCTGGTGACATTTTATAATGTCACAGGGCGAGGGGTGGCATCCAGGGATGCTACCAAATATCCTCCAACGCTCAGGACAGCCTCCCACAGTGAAGAATCACCTGCCCCAGATCTCAAATCTTTTAGGTTGAAGCACCTACACTACTGCCAACCTACACCACCACCTCCCGAGCCTGCCTGGCTCCCAGGGGCCTGCTTGCTGGCAAGGTGGGCTCCTGGTGGGATAGAAACAGCAGCCGGTGAGCTAGTAAGATGCATGTGTACTTCCTCAGAACTGACTTAGAACTATGTAGTATTAATTTCCAAAAGAACAAAAGAGAATTATATCAAACCAGTAACAATGTCACTTACCTGCCTGTGTTTCTTCTGTGCATGGAGAGGAAATAACACTGGGAGGTGCAGAATCTGGTGGAGTCTCTGTCTTTAAGGGTATTAGGTTTATTCTCCTTAAGCACAAAAAGAAGGGAAGTAGTGGACTACACATTAGTGTTACAAAAATGGCTTATGCAGGATGCTAAGTGTCAAAATTGCCAAAAGAAATACTTAAAAATGCGAGCTGATCTTACCTTGCAAGCTATTAAACAGAGTAAATACAATGATGGTTCCGCTTACTGAGATTCCATTCACGTACTACGTTAAACCAACACATTTATAATGGTCAGCTGAAGTCACAGCCCCAAAGCCTCGAGAGCTGTGTTTTAACTGCTGACAGCCTGCGCACACCCGCTGGCTGCCTCTGCAGAAGACCATCAGACATGGGCCTACACGTGGAAAGCATCGAAACACAGATCGTTCTTTTCCTAACACCCAAAGTCTTCATTTTCTTTTTCTTTTTTTTTTTTTTTTGACAGGCAGAGTGGACAGTGAGAGAGAGAGAGACAGAGAGAAAGGTGTTCCTTTTTGCCGCTGGTTCACCCTCCAATGGCCGCCGCGGCCAGTGCGCTGCAGCCAGCGCACCGCGCTGAACCGAAGGCAGGAGCCAGGTGCTTCTTCTCCTGGTCTCCCATGGGGTGCAGGGCCCAAGCACTTGGGCCATCCTCCACTGCACTCCCAGGCCACAGCAGAGAGCTGGCCTGGAAGGGGGGCAACCGGGACAGAATCCGGCGCCCTGACTGGGACTAGAACCCCATGTGCCGGCGCCGCAAGGCGGAGGATTAGCCTAGTGAGCCGCGGCGCCGGCGGTCCAAAGTCTTCATTTTCAACCTCTAATATTTAAAAAAATTACAACTGCAAACAGCTTAGTAAATAGAATTCAAGAGGGGAGAACAATTTAGAAGCAAAAATATTTCAAAGAGTATCTTCCGCTACATAAACACAAATAAGGGAAAAAACCCTGAAAGCCATTGCTGGTTTGCAGAAAGAAATGAGATGTGAAGGGTCCTGAACCCTCCACCTGAAGTATCTTAGGGATTCCCCAGGGAAGCTTGTGCACGGCAGAGAACAGGAGAGGCAGAGAATACTTCTAGTTTAACTCGTCACCCTCACCCTCCTCCCACCCTAGTGCATCTGGAAGGGGGGTGGCTAGGTGGTAGGGAGACTGGTGGACAGGGAAGTTCACAGGTAGAGGGGGGAAACTGGGTCTCAGAGGTGCCCAGGAAGGAAGGTGCCCAGCAGGCTACCGCTGCTGGCAACAGAAGAATGTGCTAGGGGGCTCAGTCTGCAGCAAGGGCCCTGGCTCAGGCCTGGGTGCCAGACGGCCTCCCCCACACAGGGAAGAACTGCCTGCAGCCTCGCCTGGGAGACTGGTTAGCATCAGACCAGCACGTCCTGTGTCTTGTGACCAGGCTGCTAGAAGGTCAAGTCTCAAGATGCTCCTTATAAGCCCAATGGAATGCTATGCAGCCCTAAAATCCTGTCATCTATGATAACATGGATGAACCTGGAGGACGTGTTAAATAAGCCAGGCCTGGAAGACAAACACCACATGACCTGTGCAAACAAAAAGTTGATCCTGTAGAAGTTAAGAGTATGGGCCAGCACTGTGGAGTAGTGAGTGGGTGAAGCTGCCGCCTGCTCTGGCACCCAATATAGGTGCTAGTGTCCCGTCTGTTCCACTTCTGATCCAGTTCCCTGCTAATGGCCTATGAAAAGTAGCAGAAGATGGGCTTGAGTGTTTGGGCCCCTGCTACCCATGTGGGAGACCAGATGAAGCTCCTGGCTTTGCACTGGCCCAGCCCTGACTATTGCAGTCACCTGGAAAGTGAACCAGTGGATGGAAGATCTCTCTCTCTCTATCACTCTGTCTCTCTGTCTTTCCCTCTAACTCTTTCAAACAAACAAATAAATCTTTTTTAAAAAAAAGAGTAAAATGCCTGGGGAGTAGGTTGTGGAGAAATTGGTCAGTAAGTTCAATGTTACAGCAAGGGGCCCACGTTGTGGAGCAGTGAGCTAAGCTCCCATCTACAACATGGGCATCCCATATTTGATTGCTGGTTTGAGACCAGGCTGCTCTGCTTCCAATCCAGCTCCCTGTTAATATACCTGGGAAAGCAGAAGATGGCCAAGTACCTGGGCTCCTGCAACCCATATGGGAAACTGGAATGGAGTTCCAGGCTCCTGGCTTCAGCCTGGACCAGCCCTGGCTGTGGTGGCCATTTGGGGAATGAACCAGTAGATGGAAAATCTTTCTCTTTGTCTCTCTATCTCCCTCTGTTGCTCTGCCTTTTTAATAATCTTTTTAAGATTTTTTATTTAAAAGGCAGAATGCTCTTTCACACAAATAAATCTTAATAAAATATGTAGTGGGACAGGAAGACAAAGTTCTGATGTTCTACTGCATAGCAGGCTAACTACAGTTAACAATAAAACAGATTGTGTTTCAAAAAAGCTAAAGGGGGGCCCGTACCGGCATCCCATATGGGTGCCAGTTCTAGTCCCGGCTACTCCTCTTTCAATCCAGCTCTCTGCTATGGCCTGGGAAAGCAGCAGAGGATGGCCCAAGTGCTTGGGCCCCTGCACCCATGTGGAAGACACCTGGCTCCTGGCTTCCGATTGGTACAGCTCCAGCTGTTGTGGCCATTTGGGGAGTGAACCACTGGAAGGAAGACCTTTCTGTCTCTCCCTCTCACTGTCTGTAATTCTCTCAAATAAACACATAAAATCTAAAAAAAAAAAAAAAAGGCTAAAAGAGAAGATTTTGAGTGTCTTTACCACAAAAAAAGTTTAAAGTAATGGGTATACTAATTGCTGCAATTTGATAAGTGCACTATCATATATGTATATATATACACACATACATATATACATGTATACCAAATATCACACTGCACCCCATAAAAATGTCTAATCTTACATACCATTCAAAAGTAAAATAATTTTTTTTTTCTTTTTTTGACAGGCAGAGTGGACAGTGAGAAAGAGAGACAGAGAGAAAGGTCTTCCTTTTCCGTTGGTTCACCCTCTAATGGCTGCTCCGGCAGGCACGCTGCGGCCGGCATACCGCGCTGATCCAAAGGCAGGAGCCAGGTGCTTCTCCTGGTCTCCCATGCAGGTGCAGGGCCCAAGGACCTAGGCCATCCTCCACTGCACTCCTGGGCCACAGCAGAGAGCTGGACTGGAAGAGGAGCAACTGGGACAGAATCTGGCGCCCCGACCGGGACTAGAACCCGGGGTGCCGGCGCCACAGGCAGAGGACGAGCTTAGTGAGCTGCGGCGCTGGCCAGGAGTGACTTCTTTTTAAAAATTAAATTTTATTTTACTTGGCTGGATTCTGTCCTGGTTGCTCCTCTTCCAGTCCAGCTCTCTACTGTGGCTTGGGAGTGCAGTGGAGGATGGCCCAAGTCCTTGGGCCCTGCACCCGCATGGGAGACCAGGAGAAGCACCTGGCTCCTGGCTTCGGATCAGCGCAGTGCGCCGGCCGCAGCGTGCTGGCTGCAGCGGCCATTGTGGGGTGAACCAATGGCAAAGGAAGACCTTTCTCTCTGTCTCTCTCTCTCACTGTCCACTCTGCCTGTCAAAAAAAAAAAAAAAAAAAAAAAAGGCACTCCTTTGATTCCTGGCATATCAGGAAGTGCCTGGTGCTTAGACAGAAGAGCACAGGTAACAAACAAACAGCCTCCTGCCCTTGAGGAAACACCTGCTACAGGGGTCATGGGTATGGCAAGCAAAGGGTTAAAGGGCCACAAAGACCAGGAGTGGAAAGAGACATTCACCCTGAATGGGTTTTTCAAGAGGACTCTAGTTCCAACAAGGGGGTGTGGGTGGGTGGGTGATCAGGGCTTTCCCAAGGAAGGCAGGGACAAAAGCCTCAAAACAGAAACAGTATGCTCTGAGAACACACATGCAGGCCCAGGCTTAGGAGTAAGGCACGTGGGACTGTGGAGAGTGAGGGCTACGGTCCTGGACACAGGCTGCAACCAAACCACAGTCCCCAGGCATGCACAGGGCATGGGCTGCATGAGGCACACAGGAAGGGGAGGAGCTAACAGAGGCCTCCGAGCCAGCACGCTGTCACTGGACCTGACAGTAAATGTCCCTTGCTGGCAAGTAATTGCTTCTAGAATTTCACTCACAACACCCTGGGATGTTTGATTTGTTTTTCATTTCACAGTGATGATTTCTCGTCTCGTGGAAACTCACCGGGGTGTTGGCTTGCTCCAGGCTTGCAAGGTGTTGAGCGTGACCCTCCGGGGTGGAGGCGCTCTTGGGTTCTGACTGCTGTGCTGCGGGGTCTTCTCCTCTGAAGGTCCTGGCAAGGGGCTTCCGACACCAGGAACGGGAGGCGTGTCCTTGACGGCTGCTGGGGCCGGAGACTGTCTGGCCTGGGGTGGGGTTGTACAGGGACTGCTGGAGTCCTGGGTTCTGCTGGTGGGCGTCCCCTCTATGGATCTGGACCCCGGTGAAGATCCTTGGTGTGCCTGATTCTTAGTTTTCTTTGCCGTATCAGGAGTTCGCATGATCAAAACTGGCTTCTCTTTCAAAGGTATTCCAAGTTCATCCTTCTCAAAGGTCACAAATGAACAATAACCATCAGTGGACGAGATGGCCAGGAAGGCCCCATCACTGGACCTGTGTTCCCAAAACGGGGAAATCAGAGGTGCCACCAAAGTCTGCGGACCCTGTTTAACACTTGTTACCGTCAGAGGCTCCTTATGCGTGCAATTTCCTCTCCCAATCCCATCTCCATGTTCTAAGTCACCACAGCTATGTGCAGTATTACTAACTTTCATCTGAATATACGTGAGATGACCTTTTTTCTCCTAAGGCAAAAGAAAATTAAAAGAAGAAAAAAGGAACCAAGAAACAGATGGTGTCAGGCCAAGCCTTGGCCAGAGCTCCAGCTGGGCTGAGCAAGCAGCAGAGGGTGCATCAGGTCCTCCCACAGGAGCAGGGTGGCGACCTCGGAGACAGACTCTGGGGCCCCCTCCCTCTTCTGGACAGCAGGGCTCACTGTTGAGGGTTTTTTCCCAGAGCCTGACAAGTCCCCAATGACTAGAGAATCCATGGGGCCTTCTCTCGTTTATCAGAGTTCAAGTACATCTCACAGGGCAATTGAAAGGCATCAAAATGCACTGGTGTCAAAACAGGAGGTGGGGGCCAGCACCACGGCACGGCAGGTTAAGTCACCACTTAGGATGCTGGCATCTCATACTGGAACACTGGTTCAAGTTCCGGCTGCCCTGCTTCCCAGTCACTCCCTGCTAATGCATCTAGGAAGGCCGCAGATGAAAGCCCAACTATGATGGTCCCCTAGCACCCATGTAGGAAACCCAGATGGAGTTCCAGGCTCCTGGCTTTGGCCTGACCCAGCCCTGGTTGTTGGGGCCATTTGGGAGTGAACCAGCAGGTGGAAGATCTCTTTTCTCTGTCTCTCCCTCTTGTTTTACCTTTCAAATAAAATGAATCTTACAAAAAACAAACAGGAAGCACTGCTGTGGCAAATGAAAAATGGCTTACCTTTAAATGTTAATTCATTAAAAAAAAAAAAGAGGGTGAGTAGAGGGCCAAAGGAGCCACCTTGAGTACTGATGCTCCCTAGCCCAAGGCTTGCCCCGGGAATGCCCTCTCTTTCCTTCACTTCGCTTGGCTATCAGCACTCACCAGGAAATATCACTCAGGGTGTGGTAATGAATGTTGGACACGTAACCGAAGGGGAAGGGCTGCTGTGTGTCATACAGGAGCACAGAGTCCTCGGAGGCCACTGCAAACACCAGGCGGTAGGGCAGGTCCATCAGCTCCATGCCTGGCTCGTGTGCTGACTGGTCTGCAGGAGGGGAAGGGACAAAGTAAAACAGCAAAGTCCCCAAAGGGAACACGTAACCAGTAGACCAAAAAGGTCCTCTCCAAGAGGACACAAAGAACATCACTTTATCAAACCCTAGCTCACTGTGGGCCTTGGAGAACACAGCTCTTCATACTCTTTTCCACATGAATACATCAATAGAAGAGAACCACGCATGAACCAGGGAACAAGGAGCTAAGAGTCTCAGGCACCGAGGTTCCCAAAAGGAGAGCTCAGCACAGACGACGTGTGGATGCGGCAGCTCAGCCTGGGGCCGAGCGCTGCTGGGCAGATGCCAGTCACACAGAAACAGTTCATGAAGTGACGCGCTACATGCTCTACTAAGCTGATTACATTCATTCACAGAAAGGCTTACAGAGCTAACAGCAGCTCCTGCTCTCAGCTATGGAGGATCAGGACTGGATTCACCTACAGGGTACCCTTCGAGGTACTCGGGCATGGCCTCGTAGGGAGCTGGACTACATGCGGCCGTGAACCCGACTATAAAGCTTGAAAGTAAGACCCGGAAGAATCAAAATGTTTCCAAAATGTTAACTGTATCCTGGAATAAATCTCAAGAATAATTGTGAAACTAAAAATATAACCAGTGTCCTCCAAGATCAAGTTTGTAACTGCCTAGCATCCAAAGAACCAGGAAAATATGACCCAGAATGAGGAGAAAATCAACCTTTCGTATTCAATAACATGAGAAGAGTTACCATAACCATGTTCAGTACGACTTGGAATCCATAAGAAAGACCCAAACAGGGAGGAAACACCACCACTTTGTGGTTCTGAGGGTACCTGTGTCCACCACTGGCCTCAGCTCAAAGTAGACGGGACAGCAGCGAACGGCAAGAGTGGCCTTTCCAGGGCAGGGAAGATGTGCAATCGGCCTGAACAATGAACCAGTTTTAGGAGAAGTTTGTTACTCAGCAACATCAAAAAGGGTCAACGTTTCAAACACCCTCTCGATCACATACCTTTTCAGATTTTTCCTGGAGAAAACATAAGTTGTATTCATTACATTTTCACCAGATTCCACACACCCGGCTGGGGAGCAAAGAAAAGGGAGAGAAAGAAAGAAGTTGATGTTTTATTAACCTGTTCACCAACAAAACTTTAATGGTATTCAATTCTGCCTGTACAATACTTTCTCCTAAAACTGTATCCTCTGCACAATGCTTTTGTGACTGAGGACCAACACAAATATTCTACTACTGTCTGGCCTTACCCAGGTCTACTCTCAGCTCCACCTGAGAGCAGTCCCCTAGAAAACAGCTCCAGTCCTGGGCAGAAGAACAGCTTGTCCTAGAACACCTTTGAGCATCTGGGCAACTCCCACAGGTGAAGTGCTATGATTGGATCCAGCTGCCCAGGCTCTCACCTCACTCTTCTCTGATTCTGCCCCTGGATGCCTTCCAAAGCTGAGAGGTCAGGTCTTTTCCATCTGCCTACCTCAGCCATGGGGCTGCGGAAGACCTGACCTCGCTGCAGTCTTCATCCAGCCTCCTACAGGACTTGACTGCGCCCTGGGAAGCAGCACACCGAGCGCTCTTCTGCACTCACCCCAGGATGTACACAACACCAGCTCAGAGCCTGCCGGACACCACCATCAGACACAGTGCTCCTGGAAACTCCTCCCTGCTTCACGTTCATATTTCTTGATACACACACACAATTTTACCTGTGACCATTTCCTATCTAGTGTCAGCGATGTTTTGTTTTGTTTTTTTTTTTTAAACTGTGATGTTTCTGCATAGCTACCTTCTCCCCATGCTTCCAGACCCAAATAATCAGGTTTAACAAACCATTATGTCCTCTCTCTACTTCTGCCGTGCTCACAAAGGGACTATAACCAGTTATAACTCAATGACGCATTTGCTCTTAGGATGATTCTTGATTCAGAATGCTTGTTTTACAAAATTTACAAAAAAGGGTACTATTTACCCTTTTCCTTACTGAGCTTGTCCCAGTCAACTACTTGTGAAGGTTAACCTGCACTACCAGTATCCATTCACCAAACCTTCTATGGACTGCTTTGTTTTTGATTTTTTGCTACAAACAATAGTTGCAACAAATATCCTTGACACACTATGTCTTAGTTTCTTAAGAAATTGAGTCTAGACACCAGACAGACAGATGGGATGGCACGTGCATTTAGCCGCTACAAATACCATTACCACCAGCAGTCCCCACTCTACATATCCCTTAGCGAGGGTCCTGTTTTCTCCAGTCTGAAGGGAACAGACATGCAACGGCTACGCCACTTCAGTGTGTACATCCCTACCACTGACCATCTGCTGAACATGTGGATGGCTCCTCCACAAACCGCCTTTATGCATCTTTCACTCATTCTTCTCTTCTCTGTGTATGAGTGTGTGCATGTCTTGTCCACATTGAAGGTACCACTGTATGGCGTATGCATCAGTCTCTCTTCCCTGCGGCACAAATACTACCCTCCAGATCCATCACTCACCTACTGACTTTGCCTCCCACATCTTTCGTCATTCAAAAGCTCTGTATTCAAATACACAAGAGTACTGCGAAAAGTTCATCGGACAGTGGAATTAAAGGAAATTTTAAATTTACAAAGATGCAAAAAAATCTGAAAGCCATGGATGAGAAGTCTTCAAAAAGTTCATATAAAATGTGTTATGCAAAAATTATGCATGGATTTCAGATGTTTACACTAAAGCAAACACATCTTTCAATTCCACTTTGCCACAGATACACTTGAAGCCTCTTTGTAGTCAAATAGCTCTATCACTTTTTAAATTTTCTCATTTTATTTGAAAGGCAGACAGAGCTCACGTCTGCTGGTTCACTCCCTAAATGCTTGTTAACAGCTGAGTCTGTGCCAAGCCACAGCTGGGAACTCAATCCAGGTCTCCCATGTGGTGGCAGGGACTCAACCATATGAGCCATCACGGCTGCCTCCCAGGGCCCACGTCAGCAGGAATCAAGAAGCTTGAATCTCCAAGTCAGAACGCAAACCTAGGCACTCCAATGTGGCATGTGGGCATTCCAATCAGCATCTTAACCAGTAAGTCAAACACTAGGTCCTCTATCATTTTTTATTTGAAAGGCCGAGTTAGAGAGAGGGAGAGATAGAAAGACAGATCTTCCATCTGCTAGTTCAATTCTCAAACGGCCACAATGGCAGGGGATGGCCCAGGCTAAATAAAGCCAGGGGCCAGGAGCTCCCTTTGGGTTGCCAATGTGAGTGCAGGGGTCCAAGCACTTGGGCCATCTTCCTCTTTCCCAGGTGCATTAGCAGGGAGCTGGATTGGTAGTGGAGCGGCCAGGACTTGAACTTGTGCCCATATAGGATGTCAGTGTCGCAAGTGGCGGTTCAATCAACTGCGCCACAACACCAGCACCCCCCCATCATATACTCCCCTCTTCATCTCTGAAATGTCCTCCTAGGTTTTCTTGCAAGAGTTTTCTACTTCATCTTACATATTTAAGTACTGGACTAACTTGGAATTTATTTCTCATATATGAGCAAGGGGTCCAAATCAGGCTTCTCCCATATAGCTGGCCACCTCAGTACCATTCACTCAATAGTCTACTCTTGTTCCCAAAACATCATCTAAGGTCATAAATTCCTTTATAGTCGGATATCTCTTTCTGGATTTCTGTTCTGGTCAACTCATCTGTTTAGTCCCACACTGCATCAATCCCACGTTAAGCTCATCTACTGACATCTGAAAAGGCAAATGGCCTCTCAAGTATTATTCTGTTTTCCACAGTACCTCAACTATTCTTCAGCATTTATTCTATTAAACAAAGCTGTGATTAAGAAAACAAAAAACCTCTCATGGGAGTCCAATTAGAAATCTAACTGGTGGGGCCAGCACTATGGCGTAGTAGGTGCCAGCTCGTGTCCCAGCTGCTCCACTTCCAATCCAACTCTATGCTGGATTGGAAAAAAGTTGAAGATGGCCCAAATCCTTGGGCCCCAGCACCCCCGTGGAAGACCTGGAAGAAGCTCCTGGCTCCAGATTAGCCCAGCTTCTGCCATTGCAGCCATTTAGGGAGTGAACCAGCAGATGCAAGAATTCTGTCTCTCTCTGCCTCTGCCTTTCAAATAAATAAATAAATCTTAAAAAAAAAAATAAAAATAATAGGCTGGCACCGCGGCTCAATAGGCTAATCCTCCACCTTGCGGCGCCAGCATACCGGGTTCTAGTTCCGGTCGGGGCGCCAGATTCTGTCCCGGTTGCCCCTCTTCCAGGCCAGCTCTCTGCTGTGGCCCAGGAGTGCAGTGGAGGATGGCCCAAGTGCTTGGGCCCTGCACCCGCATGGGAAACCAGGAAAAGCACCTGGCTCCTGGCTCCTGCCATCGGATCAGCGTGGTGCGCCGGCCGCAGCGCGCCGGCCGCGGTGGCCATTGGAGGGTGAACCAACGGCAAAGGAAGACCTTTCTCTCTGTCTGTCTCACTGTCCACTCTGCCTGTCAATAAATAAATAAATAAATAAATAAATAAATATAAAAATAATAAAGCAGGGGCCAGCGCTGTGGCGCAGCAGGTTAACGCCCTGGCCTGAAGCGCCGGCATCCCATATGGGCACTGGTTTCAAGACCCAACTGTTCCACTTCCAATCCAGCTCTCTCCTATGGTCTGAGAAAACAGTAGAAGATGGCCCAAGTCCTTGGGTCCCTGCACCTGCATGGGAGACCTGGAAGAAGCTCCTGGCTCCTGGCTTCGGATCAGAGCAGCTCCAGCCATTGTGGCCAACTGGGGAGTGAATCATCGAACAGAAGAACTCTCTCTCTGCCTCTCCTCTCTCTGTGTAACTCTGACTTTCAAATAAATTAATAATAATAATAATAAAGCAAAGAAATACAACTGGTGTTAATACTTTTAGGTCAGTGTATCTTCTTGTTTGTTCAGAATTTGCTTTACGGGGCCAACATTGTGGCACAGTGGGTTAAGCTGCCTGTGATGCCGGTATCCCATAGGAGTACTGGTTCAAATCCTGACTGTTCCACTTCCAATCTAATGAGCCTAGGAAGCAATGGAAGATGGCCCATGTACATGGACCCCTACCACCAACATGGGAGACCCAGAAGGAGCTCTGGGCTCCTGGCTTCAGCATGGTCCAGCCCCAGCTGTTGCACCTATTTGGAGAATGAACCAGCAGATGGAAAATCTCTCTCTCTCTAATTCTGGCTTTCAAATAAATAAATAAATCTTAAAAAAAAAAAGAGAGAATTTGCTTTACAACCTTCAGCAATACCTTCTCATATTATTCATAAGGGCCCTGCTGTGGTTGCACTAGATTCACTTACACCTGTCTTATGGGTTTTACACCACTGTGAACAGAATGTTTCTCCTGTTTCCATTTAAGTACTTACTACTAGTATAAGACAAAAAATGATTCTTACAGATTTCACAATATCCAGCCACATTATCAAATGCTCTTTTAAATTCTGATAACATTTTTTAAACATCGAGGACTCTCTAGAACTATAACACCATCACAGGCAGAAAAAGTTTTTTCTTCTTCCAATCTTGATTTCGTTTTCCCACATTTATTAACACCACAAGCAACAATAATGGTGACTGCAGACATCCTATCCAGTACCTGATTTTAACTGAAAATATCTTTGGAGTTACCATTCAGTAAAGGACTTGTTACTAGGGATAGTAAATAACTACTACTAATAAATACTTATAAAATGACTAACTTAAGCAACTTGGTTCTGAGACTCCCTGAACCAAACTGTCATTCTCCAAATGCTGCCTAATACAGTTTTTTTCTAAGATTTATTTATTTATTTGAGAGACAGAATTACAGACAACAAGAGGGAGACACAGATAGAGGTCTTCTGTCCATTGGTTCACTCTCCAAATGGCTGTAACAGCCAGAGATTTGCCAATCCGAAGCCAGGAGCTTCTTCCGGTTCTCCCATACAGCTATCAGGGGCCCATGGACTTGGGCCATCTTCCCTGGCTTTCCCAGGCCATCAGCAGAGAGCTAGATCAGAAGTGTAGCAGCCGGGACTTAAACTGGTGCCCCTGTGGAATGCTGGCACTGCAAGGGGAGACTTAACCTACTATACCACAGTGGTGGCCCCTCCCTAATGTTCTTGTTTTAATTTGAGAAGTAGAGAGAGACAGAAAGACAGATACAGAGAGCTCCTATCTGCTTATTCACTCCCCAGATGCTCACAAGACTTGGGACTAGGTTGAGGCCAAAGCCAGGAACACGAACCAGATCTCCCACATGGGTGGCAGGAACCCAACTACTTGAGCTAGCAATGCTGCCTCCTGGGGTATGCATTAACAGGAAGTGGGAATCAGTAACTGGAGGCAGGACTTGAATCTAGGCTCTCCAATGTGGAACTCCCTAACGTTTTGAGGCCCTCCCCTTGCCCAGCCTGGCAGGAACTCTTAGCAATAAACCTGACCTGGGTCTGTTTGGCCCAACCCTGTGCTATATCATCATCTTTACATACAGGGTGGTCTTACAGCTTTGGAAATTAGCAGAAACTCCTCTGAGAATGCTCTGGCCCTAACAGTGCTTTGCCTGATCTTGTGGGGCTTACCCTCTTGCATTCCTGCAGACAACAAACCTGTCCCGTCCTTGCTGACTTTGCTAACACTCTGGATTCGACCAGTGCCACTCCCGTTAGTGAGACTAATCTGACTTGTGCCTGGGTCTAATCCTATCACAGCAGGCTGCTGGTTATTGAGATAAAAACAACAAAGGCACTACAGCTTGAGAACCACGTTCTCCACATATATGTCTAGTGAAAAAACACTCACCAGGTTTAAACACTAAATTTTCAAAGCTAAATGTATCAAAGAGACTGGTATCACTCTAGTTCCAAGACTCCCAAACATGTCTGTACATCCACTGGATGTAAAATTTGTGAGATTTAAAATCCACAAGCCAGGTCATCCAGCCTAGGCCACTCAAACCACTATCTCTAGGCAAGGACACAGGGACCAGTATCTTTTTAAGGCTTCCTGGAGGTCTCCTACATGTGGACAAGTTGTGGGCCCTGCTCCGATCAGAACTCACTGAGCTGCAAAGCACATCAGAAAACAGCAGCAGAGACATCCGCTCCGGCTTCATGCCCTCAAATCAAATGCCGTCAAACACACCTGGTGTGAGGAGCAAGGATCCGTCGGGAGTAAAACTGAGTCTACGGAAGAATGACTTCATGCTGTCATCATGAAACATCCGGTAACTGCGTGCCTGTGGCATACAAAGTTTAAACGTTATTCCAAACCTTCACATTCACAATAAAGGCTTACCAATTCCTGTTTTTTCACTACATAGGGTGATTTATTATTGAAATAATGATGAATGAAACAGACATATAAAAAATAATCATGCAAGACTGCAAGAGCAATCATGCCTGGGAACTGATCGCCCATTTTGTTAAGTAAAGTCCTTTGTGGGGAAGGGAGCGGGGGGGTTCTATGGTTATTCTAGACCCTTCTGTAAGAATACACCCCACACCATTGACAGTGTTTTGTGGGGCGGGGGGGAGTTCTATGGTTATTCTAGACCCTTCTATAAGAACACACCCCACATCACTGACAGTGTTTTGTCTGGGGACAGACTACTAGGTGATAGCAGGAAGATGATCTGTGTGTACATATTCAGAATTTCCAAATGGATGACATTTTTCATAGATTATTAAACAGATTATTAAATCACTTTTCAAACCACATCTCTTGAACACCTGTGAGGCAGTTTTGCTACCCTTTACTGACATTTTATAAACTGTTACTATCCTTCCCTCACACATGTGCCTCCCGGTGTGTCAGTTCTTGGCTGCCTCACCCTGCACCCTAAGGCTACGCTTGCATCAAGTACTTGGTTGCTCCTATCACTGATGTGCCTGCCTTGGTGGTCTAGATCCCTCTAGGACTGGAATCCTATGTCATTTGCCAGCTCTTTCAAAGATCAAAACCCTTCCTATTCCTAAAGACCAACCTCTTGGCTGGGTTCTGCTGTCTGCTGCCAGAGTTCTCTGCCTACCTGCTGCCAGAGATCCAGCGTCCCACCTACCTGCTTTCCCACATCAGTGGTGAGTGACCCTGTGACCTGAGTCACAGAGGCAATGCCTACCTCCAGCCAGGTGAATCACACAGCTGGGGGTAGTACCCAGGCACTAGCAGTTTTAATGCTTCCCAGGTGATTCCAGTGTGGCCAGGGTTACAATCACTACGGTCCATCATGGGCCCTCCCCAGCCCCAAGGTGTACCCATTTCCACAGAGACCACCCTGCCACACTAACTGAGCTCTGACTGTCCAAAAGGACAGGTGTTGGGTCCCTGAGGCCAGGGACATAGCTGCTGGAATGTGGAAGGAGCACATGACTGTCTAAGTGTCAATTAAAGAGGGCTGAGGGACAGGCATTGTGACACAGCAGGCTAGGCCTCAGCTTGGGATGCCAGGATCCCATATAAGAGTGCCTGGTTCAAGTCCTGAGGACCCTGTGCTTCCAATTCAGCTTCCTGCTAATGCACCTGGAAGGCATCAGATGCTGGCCCAAGTGCTTGGACTCCTGCAAGGAGAGAGATCTGGAAGAAGCTCCTAGCTTCTGGCTTCAGATCGGCCCTGCTCTGGCTGATGCGGCCATTTGGGGAAGGAACCAGTGGATGGAAGATCTCTCTGTCTCTCTCTCTCTCTCTGTAATTCAGCCTTTCAAATAAATATATAAATCTTTAAAAAAAAAATAAAGAGCTGCTAAAAGGGAATGTCGAAGTGTTATACCTCTCCTTCGGTCCCTATTGCAGACAGCATCTTGGAAACGTTAAAAGCCACCCGCTTCTTCTGCGTGCTGTACACCCGCAACACCCTGGAAAAGAAGGGAAGTGGGACTGAGCTCTGCAGGAAACGCACTGTTCCTCACAGAAACGCCCGGAGGCCGCCTGAATGACTGCAGCCTGCCAATGTCGCGCAGACCCGGCCAAGGAACTGACAGAGGCCAACGTTCACAACCTAACTTTCCCAGGAAATAATCGTTATTTTGTTTTTACTTCACGTTTCACTGACTGTTCCAACTTCTCAAGGAAGATATGCGTTAGTCCTGTCTGGGTGATCTGGGTGCCTGCAGTGGAGTCTGTTTTGTGTTCAACAGTCTTACTCAGGGATCCGTGAGGGAGGAGAAGCACGGGCAGGTGAATTAGCTATCAGACTGTCTCCTGAGGGCCTGAATAAAACACAAACTCCAGAAAATGGAAGGCAGGGCCTATGACAAAGAAACACCTACCGCTCTATACCGCTCACTCCAGGGCCATCTTAGCTCCAGCCCTAACTCAATTAATTGAAAGGTTCTGTTTGGGCTGATTTAAATTTGATTGATTAAATTATGTTACTTTTAATTAAAGGTACTTCAATAACTATTCAAAAGCATTAGTTTGTTAAATAATGTGCCTGGTTTCTCTCATTTTTTTTAATTCTTTGTTCCCAAAAATACAATTAAATTAAATTATACCAGCAATGCAGTAACAAGACATCTTTTTCAGAAGACAAAAACATTTTATTTTTATATCAATTTAAATGGAGTCAAATCACTCTCATTAAATTATCAAAAAGGAAGAGACCGGATCAGCATTGTGGCATAGTGGGTAAAGACACTGCCTGTGATGTTGGCATTCCATAAGGGAGTTCGTTTGGGTCTCAACTGCTCCACTTCTGATCCAGCACCCTGCTAATGGCCTGGAAAAAGCAATGGAAGACAGCCCAAGTGTCTGGGCCCTTGCCACCCACATTGGAGACCTGGACAAAGTTCCTGGCTCTTGGTTATGGCCTGGCTCAGCCCTGGTCATTTTTGTGGCCAAATAGGGAGCTTCCAGTAGAAGGAAGATAAATACTTGGCTGGAGCCGCAGCTCACTAGGCTAATCCTCCACCTTGCGGTGCTGGCACACTGGGTTCTAGTCCCGGTCAGGGCGCCGGATTCTGTCCCGGTTACCCCTCTTCCAGGCCAGCTCTCTGCTATGGCCAGGGAGTGCAGTGGAGGATGGCGCCAAGTACTTGGGCCCTGCACCCCATGGGAGACCAGGATAAGTACCTGGCTCCTGCCATCGGATCAGCACGATGCGCCGGCCGCGGCGGCCATTGAAGGGTGAACCAATGGCAAAGGAAGACCTTTCTGTCTCTCTCACTGTCCACTCTGCCTGTCAAAAAATTTTAAAAAAATAAAAAATAAAAAAAGACAAATACTCCAACCTCACTAGTATCTTCTTAAGTCATATTCAAAAAAACCAAAAAAACTCTCATAAGTCTCTCATAAAATCAAATGTAATTCAAAGTTCAAAAATCAGATGGAATTCTCCTTTATTCACTCATTCGTAAAAATTTACTAAGTACTAACTTAATGTAAGGCACTTGCCCTAGTTTTCAATTTCCCTGCTAATGTGCCTGGGAAAGCAATGGAAGATGGCCCAAGTGTTTGGGTCCCTGTACCCCTGTGAGAGACCTGGATGAAGCTCCTGGCTCCTGGCTTCAGACCACCCCAGCACTGGCTGTTGTAGCCATTTGGGGAGTGAACCAGTGGATGGAAAACCTCTCTCTTTCTCTCTCTCTCTGCTTTGCCCTCTGTGACTCTTTCAAATAAATAAGTATCTTTAAAAAAAAGAAAAAGAAAAAATGTGAAAACAAACCAGAGAATCAAAGCTAGACTATGATTTATTTTGGTTAAGTTGTGATGAAAATACCTCTGCAAAAAACCCTCAGTGCACCCAAAGGCAGCTTGCAATCACAACCATACCTGTCACAGCTCAGAGTAGCAACATACTGACCCAAAGGGTCCCAGGTTACTCCTTGTACATAACTTTTGTGTTCATTAAAAATTGATATCTTTTGTCCTACAAAAGAAGCACACAATAGCATTACCAAAATCTACTCACAAGTATAAACATATAAAAAGCTTATAAAATATGAGGATATTTTAAAAGGTTTATAGAAAAACAGAATTAAAAGGTGACTTTTTTTGTATAAAAAATTTTGAAATCCATGCATGAGAGTCTGATTCCCTTTCTGCCACCCCATCATTAGGCAGGTGGTAAATGGAGACTCTGTACAAGCCCCGTGCAAGACTCTGGGGATAGAAAAATGACTTGTAGACAGCCTCACCCGAGGCTCAGAGTCACAGGAGAGACCACCAGCAGGTGATTCTGCCACCCAGTGACAGCCCACTATGCAAAGGCTGTCTCAGGAGATGATACTGCCTGCTGTCCTCGTCTGTGTAAGCACACCATCATGTTCACACAGCGCGATCTCCTAGAACGCACTTCTCAGAAGGCACCCCCATTAAGCAGTGGATGACTGTGAAATACAATGGACCAGAGGACGCAGAGGTGAGCATCAGAGCTCAGTTCTCCAGATCTGACGGGAGAGAGATGAGGGAACAGAAGGGCAGAACACTCTAAAGAAATCCAAGGGTAAAACGACAGCTGAGCCAGGCGTGTATGGAGCAGTGATAAGCAACTGAGAACTGCTAACAGGTAAAGAGAGGCTGTGAACACCAAGGGAAGCAGGAAGAGATGCAGGAACCTCAAAGTTTGCAGAAAATGTTTATTATGAAAAGACTGTGCATGAATTTCAAAAATTTCTTGCATCAAAATAAACTTATCATTTTTTTAAATTTACATTTATTTATTTATTTTGAAAGGCAGAATTATAGAGAAGGAAAGACAGAGAGAGATCTACCATCCACTGTTTCATTGCCCAGATGGCCACAATGGCCAGGGCTGGGCCAGGCTGAAGCCAGGAGCCAGGAACTTCATCCAGATCTCTCAAGCACTTGGGCTACTCTTTTCTGCTTTCCCAGGTGCATCAGCAGGGTATCAGATCAGAAGCGCAGCAGCCAAGATCGGAACAGGTGCCCATATGGGATACCCGTGTCGCAGGCAGTGGCTTAACCTGCTGTGTCACAACACTGGCCCCCAAAATAAACATCTTTTAATTCCATTTTTCCATTAACTTTTTGAAGCCTCTTTGTATATCACAGATACCAGTACATGCAGGGAAAGGCCTTCCTTGGGCATCAAGGTACAGGCTGAGGAGCACTGAGCTGGGAAATGACTGCATTTTAAAGATGAAACGAAGGTATAGAAATGATGACAGGCCGGCACCGCGGCTCAATAGGCTAATCCTCCACCTAGCGGAGCCAGCACACCGGGTTCTAGTCCCGGTCGGGGCGCTGGATTCTGTCATGGTTACCCCTCTTTCAGGCCAGCTCTCTGCTATGGACTGGGAGTACAGTGGAGGATGGCCCAGGTGCTTGAGCCCTGCACCCCATGGGAGACCAGGAGAAGCACCTGGCTCCTGCCTTTGGATCAGCGCGGTGCGCCGGCCGCAGCATGCCGGCAGCGGCCATTGGAGGGTGAACCAACGGCAAAGGAAGGCCTTTCTCTCTCTCTCTCTCACTGTCCACTCTGCCTGTCAAAAAAAAAAAAAAAAAAAAAGAAATGACGACAGAGGGTTACCAGTTAGGTGATACGGGTGAGCAGGTGAGAGCCAGGAGGGTCTCACGAGCAACGTCAGTAGGGATGGAAGAGGGACACCAAGGAAGACATTTATAAGATAAATCCAGCAGCAGAGAGACTGCCTGGATAAGAGGGGGTTATGAGACCACAAGCCCTCTCCTCTGAAGAGTGGTCCACTCACATCTTACACCCAACCTCACCTTCCACTCACTCACCCCTACAATCAGGCTCTCCCTACCCACCACCCCCTACAACCACTAATGCTCCAGGTGCCAGTGACCTGAACAGGCAAAACTCAACACTCTAGCTCCAGTCCAGCTCCCAGGCCCTGGCCCACCTGGTGGCATTTCTCACTCCTTCCTGAGTCTCCTCCCAGGAAACCAGCTGGGACTGAGGTGGCTGCAGTGAGACAAAGGCTTCAGGAGGCCTGTATAGGTTGGGAGTAGCTACTGGGGAAAAGGGAATGGGTGACAAGTGCAAGGGGGCAGAGGTCACTGAGAGCCTGTCAGGGTAAATATGTCCTGGCCCAGTCTGCAGTCACAGGTTTTTGTTTTCGTCTTTAATAAGTTTAGTTTTTTTTTTTTTTAATTTTTATTTGAGAAGCACTGAGAGAGAAAGTGAGAGTGCTCCCATCTGGTGCTTCACTCCCCAAATGCCCACAACAGCTGGGGCTAAGCTGGGGCTCAAGTTAGGAGCAAGGAAACCCCATCCAGGTCTCTCATGTGAGTGGAGAGTCTGCACTGGTAGGAAGCTGGAGACGGCAGTCAGAGACAGGAATGGAAGCCAGGTACTGATGTGGGACCCTGGCATCTCAACTGCAGGCTCAACATCTGCTCCAGAGCCAGAGCTTTTTAGGCAGCTGGCTGCTTACCTTCCCGGGGCTAGGAAATGACAGGACAGTCACACAGATCTCAGGCTCAGGCCTTCCTAGGTGGGGAAGGTGGAGGAAAGGGGTCAGAGGGAAATGGCCATGTTGGCACCTGACTACCCATGTAGGTGAGCAAGCTGGACAGAGGCCAGAGCGGCCAACAGATCAGGAATCAGAGCACTCAGGGGACTCAGAGCTCGCCTCGAGAGGATGTTCAAAAACTGAAGGAGGTGAGGTTAGGGAGAGAACATCTGGTTGAGGTTGACACTGAGAAAGTAGTGAAATGACAGATCTGGGGCGTGGCCTTGATTTTCAGACTTGCTGCCCAAACCACTCCTCCCCCTGTGCCCCAAATCCCAGGAAATGGAGCCAATATTTCCAACTGCCAAAAATCTGTGAGGTACAGTCAACCCACCCACGAATCCTGGTAGGTCTTTCTCTAAGAAACTACATTCCCCCACTCTGTGCCCCGTCCATCACTGCCAACCTCATCCAAGCCATTGGCCCCACCTCTGAATCACTGTGCACATTCAGAGGCCTTGCTTTTCCATGGGCTACCCACAGCCTTCTTTGTAAAGCAAAAAAGATCACGTTCAAACAGTGGTTCAAAACCTTGCAGTGTAGCCAGCACTGTGGCACAGTGGGTTCAACGGTTGCCTATGATGCTGACATCCCATGAGCTCACCCCGGTTCAAGTCTCAGATGCTCCACTTCTGATCCAGCTCCCTGCTAATTCGCCTGAGCAAGCAGTGCAAGATAGCCAGCCATTTGGGAAGTGAACCAGTAGATGGAAGATCTATCTCTCCCTCTCTCTGTCACTCTGCCTTTCCAATAAACTTTTTTTAAGAAAAAACCCCTGCATGATCCTTTCCAAGGTCCACAATCTTACATGACCTGGGCCCCTCCTCTCCAACTTCAGTTGCTCCCATCCTCTCTGTTTTACTCTACCCCGTTTCTGTTCCCGTTCCTGTGATATACCATGCAGCAGTGTCAGAGCCTTCACACTTGCTGTTCCCACAGGCTGGAATGCTCTTCCCCTAAACACACATGGCTTCTCCCTCACTTTATTTGGATCTTTGCTCAAATGCCCTAGGCTCACAGCAGCATCCCTGGCAACCCTCACAGCAACAACCACTGTATCCATGAATAGATTTATCTCGCGTTCCTACCACAACGCAGCCATTTCACTCCTGCTCTTTCCAGTGTACCAGTAATGTCCAAGGTCATCACAACTGATTCAGGAGCATGCCGATGGACTGCCCGGGAGACCTGAGATTATCCAGGACACAGGGCAGGTCTGCGGTATCAAGGGAGACTGTGACGCTAGCCCTGCATTGTGCTGGAACATTAGGGATCAACTGGAAACAGGACAAGAGGGGCCAGTGTTGTGGCATACTAGGTTAAGCCTCCACCTGCAGCATCAGCATCCCATATGGGTGCCAGTTTGTGTCCCAGCTGCTCCTCTTCCGATCCAGCTCTGTTTATGCCTGGGAAGGCAATGGAAGACGGCCCACGTGCTTGGGCCTCTGCAGTTACACAGGATACATGAAAGAAGCTCCTGGCTTTGGATCAGCTCAGTCCAGCCCTTGTGGCCATCGGGAGAGTGAACCAGCAGATGGAAGACGTTTCTGTCTCTCCTTCTGTGACTCTCTCAAATACATAAATAAAATCAGAAAGGAAGGAAAGAAGGAAGGAAGGAGGGAGGGAGGGAGGGGAGGAAGGAGGGAGGGAAGAAAGAAACAGGACAAGATGAGATGGGACAGGAGAGAACTGCCTGGCTGGCTGGTACAGAACCAACCAGAACAGAGAGGTTCTTAGAGTGCATGAGAACTGGACTGATGCAGTGCAGCAGCACGAATGCCACTCCATGCCACGAGTCCCCACCCAGCACCTGGGTGCAGGGAGGCTGGGCAGCCTGCTGGTGAGAGAAGAGCACAGGAAGAGGTGTGGTGGGAACAGGAAGTTTCATGAAGGACAGCAGGGGATACAAACAGTTAGCAATGAGCCACCATGAGCTCCACCATTTCACTGGTATTTTGACTCCACTCTAACTGCTCAAATGTCTACCATCTCCCCAACCAGAAAACAGGCTCCTTGAGGGCAGTGGAATGTTCTTGGCTTTCCTCCTAAAATGGATACCTGATTCCACCTACCCCTCAACTAGCCCACAACACCCCAGTGACAGTGACTTACTCATCTCCTGACAGCCTATGCTCCAGGAAGGCAGGGACCAAGCCTGCCCCTCACCACTGTCTCCCAAGCACAGGGGATCTGCCTCCACTCAGCACCAGTAACTCAAGCCTCCTATGTTCCACTTGGGGCCCTAAACCCCGGGGTGGATTCATGACTTGTGAGGCAAATTCCTATCCTGCTGAGCCAACACCTATCTATCTTAGATCACAAAAGACATTTGCTATGTTGCTTTTCAAGTTAAAGCAAGTTAATTTTTAAAAATATTTTAGAGTATTCCTTTCCCCCTGATAATCACAAAAGCACATCAATCACCTTTGTTGACATCCCAGATGATGGCTGTGTTGTCCACGGAGGCAGAAGCCATTAAATTCCCATCTGTTGCCCAGCAAATATCATACACATCTTCTAAGTGGCCCCTATAATCCAAAGAGGTCAAAGAAAAAGAAGCAATTATTGTCTCAGAACAGGAAAAAATATCAAAAATTTAAAGACAAACTCAGGGACCATGCATGAGAATGGAATTCCAGAAATTTCCATTGGTACTACATTAGCTATAGCTATAAACAACCACTTTCAAGGGCATTTATATCCTCAAAATTGAGTTTTTAAAAAATTTATCAATTTGAGGGCCGGCGCCGTGGCTCAATAGGCTAATCCTCCACCTAGCGGCGCCTGCATACCGGGTTCTAGTCCCGGTCGGGGCGCCGGATTCTGTCCCGGTTGCTCCTCTTCCAGGCCAGCTCTCTGCTGTGGCCTGGGAGTGCAGTGGAGGATGGCCCAAGTGCTTGGGCCCTGTACCCTATGGGAGACCAGGAGAAACACCTGGCTCCTGCCATCGGATCAGCGCGGTGCGCCGGCTGCAGCGCGCCGCCCATGGCGGCCATTGAGGGTCAACCAAAGGCAAAGGAAGACCTTTCTCTCTGTCTTTCTCTCTCTCTCTCTCACTGTCCACTCTGCCTGTTTAAAAAAAAAAAAAAAATTATCTATTTGAAAGGCAGAGTGACAGAGAGAAAGAGAGACAGAGACCTCCCATCCTCTGGTTCACTCCTCAAATGTCAACAACAGCTAGGGCTGGGCCATGCCAAAACCAGAAGCAAGAAACTCCTTCCAGTCTCCCAATTGAAGGCAAGAACCCAAGCACTTGGATCATCATCTACCATCTCCCAGGTGCATTCTCTGGATCAGAAGTGGAGGCAGCGGTGGGTGGGTGGGTAGAGGGTTCTGGCATAGCAGATTTAAGCCACCCCATCTCAGAGTGCCAATTTGAGTCCTAGCTGCTCTGCTTCTGATTCAGCTCCCTGCTAATGCACCTGAGAAAGTAGCAGAAGATGGCCCAACTATCTGGGGCTCTGCTACCCAAGGGGGAGGCTCAGATGCAGTTCCAGGTTCTTGGCTTCAGTTTGGACCAGCCTAGGGTGTTGGGGCCATTTGGTGAATGAATCAAAAGATGGACGACCTTTTTTTTTTCCTTTCTTCATTTCTATCACTTTGCCTTTCAAACGAATGAACAAAGAGAGAGAGAGAAAGAGAGAAAGAGAGAAAGAGAGAGAGAGAGAGAGAGGGAGGGAGGAAGCAGAGGTGGGACTCAACTGGACACTCCAGTAAGGGTTGTGGGCGTCAAGTGGTAGCTTAACTGCTGCACTATACCAACCCCATAAATTGGTTCTTAGTGTTTTGTTTTTTAAGATTTATTTATTCATCTGGAAGTCAGAGTTACAGAGCGGGGAGAGACAGAGAGATCTTCCATCTACTGGTTTGCTCCCTATATGGCCTCAATGGCCAGGGCTGGAACAGGCCAAAACCAGGAGCCAGGAGCTTCTTCCAGGTCTCCCAAGTGAGTAGCAGGGGCCCAAATACTCAGGCCATCTCCCACTGCTTTTCCCAGGCCATCAGCACAGAACTGGATGGGAAGTAGAGCAGCCAGGACTCAAACAGCACCTGTATGGGATGCTGGCATTACAGGCAACAGCTTTACCCATTACACCACGATGCTGGCCCCAATTGGTTCATTTCTACTACAGAAAAGTTTGTAGCAGAAACTAATAAAATCCATTTTATTCATACTTCAGTCCTTTAAAACTACTGTCTTATGGCGGTCTCAGGTAAATGAAAGGGTTAGGTTAGATAAAACACACATTTTGTTCCAGGCACTCCGTGGCAACGGCAACCAGCCTACAGTCTCCCACATTACCTCAGGGTCTTCACCACAGTCCAGTTCTCCTTATTCAGCTGGGCCTCGTCCTCATCCTGGAAAGCGATCTGCTCAGGCTCCTTGTTGTCGTTCACCTTCCACAGCAGGATGACGGCGTCTGTGGAGTGATTCAATCAGGCACAAGCTGGGGTCACTGTGTGCTCCTCAGGTTGTCCAGCGGACAAAATGGCCACAGAATTTACAAGTACTTCTAAGAATCTGGACTAGAAAAGCAGGTTTGCCTTCAGGATTCATAAATTCTTTTTTAAAAAAATTGTTTATTTGAAAGGCAGAGACACAGAGAAAGAGAGAGAGAGAGAGAGAGAGAGAGAGAGAGAGAGAGATCTTCCATCTGCTGGTTCATTCCCCAATGGCTGCAACAGGTGGGGCTGGGTCAGGCCAGAGCCAGGAGCCAGGAGCTTCTTCCAGGTCTCCTACATGGCTGGCAGGGGCCCCAGGACGTGAGCCATCATCTGCTGCTTTCCTAAGCACAGTGGCAGAGAGCTGGATTGGAAGTGGAGCAGCAGGACTCGACCAGCACCCATAAGGGATGCTGGCATTGCAGGAGGTGGCTTAATTTCTATAGCACAGCATCAGCCTCATGAACTCATAAATTCTAAACTCAAAGTCATTACAAATAAGAGCTATATGAAGTTACCTGACACACAGTGTCTCCAGGCCAGCAAAATGCATTGTAAACTGTGTTAACCAAGCTAAGGGCATAATCCATAAATAACTGAAAACAGAAAAACAAAACAAGAGCCACCAACACAAGGGTTAGTGAAGTGTTCCCAGCTGTGGAACCTTCAGCAAGTCCTTTAACATCTTGATGCATCAAGATGTTAGCCATAAAGTGGGTACAACAATATAACTATCTCATAGGGCTGCTGGGAGGAGTCAATGGGTTAACATGCTAAAGCAAGTTCAGCACAGTGTCTGGCACCAGGGAAGCCCCACATAAGTGTTAGCTATTAGTGTGGATGCACCGGATACCTAAGCCTGATGTCGCCAAATGTTGGAAAAAAATAACTCCCCACATTCTGATTCCACCCTTGCCACACAACCTATGTCTGGCTTCTCTTTAAAAAAATTATTTATTTATGGGCCGGCGCCGTGGCTCACTAGGCTAATCCTCCGCCTAGCGGCGCCGGCACACCAGGTTCTAGTCCCGGTCGGGGTGCCAGATTCTGTCCCGGTTGCCCCTCTTCCAGGCCAGCTCTCTGCTGTGGCCAGGGAGTGCAGTGGAGGATGGCCCAGGTGCTTGGGCCCTGCACCCCATGGGAGACCAGGAAAAGCACCTGGCTCCTGGCTCCTGCCATCGGATCAGCGCGGTGCGCCGGCCGCAGCGCGCCGGCCGCGGCAGCCATTGGAGGGTGAACCAACGGCAAAGGAAGACCTTTCTCTCTGTCTCTCTCTCTCACTGTCCACTCTGCCTGTCAAAAAATAAAAAAATAAAAAATAATAAAAAAAAATTATTTATCTTGAAAATTAGAGTTACAGGTTGGCACCACGGCTCACTAGGCTAATCCTCCGCCTGCGGTGCCGGCACCCTGGGTTCTAGTCCCGGTCGGGGCGCCGGATTCTGTCCCAGTTGCTCCTCTTCCAGTCCAAGCTCTCTGCTGTGGCCTGGGAAGACAGTGGAGGATGGCCCAAGTCTGGGCCCTGCACCTGCATGGGAGACCAGGAGGAAGCACCTGGCTCCTGGCTTTGGATCGGCACAGCGCATCGGCCTTAGCAGCCATTTGGGGAGTGAACCAGCAGAAGGAAGACCTTTCTCTCTGTCTCTCTCTAACTCTGCCTGACCAAAAAAAAAAAAAAAAATTAGAGTTACAGAGATGAGAGAGAGACAGACATCTTCTATCCACTCGTTCACTACCCAGATGGCCCCAACAGTCAGAGCTGGGCCAGGCTGAAGCCAGGAGTCAGAAGCTTCATCTGGGTCTCGTATGGGGGTGGCAGGGGTCCAAATACCTGAGCCACCTTCCATTACCTTTCCCAGGCCATTAGTAGGGAGCTGGATCACAAGTGGAGCAACCTGGACACAAACAAGGACCCATACTGAATGTCAGCTTTGTAGGAAGCGCCTTTACCTGCACGTCACAACATTGGCCCCGACTCCCTTTTAAGAACAGGAAAGTTGCGGCTGGCGTTGTGACACAGCTGGTCAGGCTACTGCGACACCAGCATCCCATCTTCCAGTACCAGTCGGAGTCGCAGCTATACCACTTTCCAGCCAGCTTCCTTCTAATGCACCTGGGAAGGCAGAAGGTACCTGACCCAGGTACTTGGGAGACCTGGCTGTTACGGCCATGTGGGAAGTGCACTAGCAGATGGAAGATCTATCTCCCTCTCCATTTCTCCCTCTACCTCTCTGTCACTCTGCTTTTCAAATAATAAATATTAAAAAAAAAAAAAAAAAAAAAACAGGAGAGTGACTGAATGAGCAGCACATATGGACATGTGCATTCCCATTCTAAATGAACCAGAATCCTGGCAGCACACACAGTTATGGAGGTTGGAGAAGAGTGGCCCTTCCAGCTGGACGTTCTCCATGTGTTGACTAATGACAAGTTTCTGGCCTTCAAGGTCAAAGAACTCTGTAAAAGGAGAACCTGCGTGTGCAACCTCACTGGAGACAGCCTGCGGCCTCCCCCAGGCACACTGTCGTCCTGTCCCTCTACACACACACACCTGTGCATACATAGACGCAAGCACATGTACATGTGTGTCCACACATCTAGAGACTGTGGCACCAAAACTCAACTGGTCTTCCTCGAACTTGTGCAAAAAAACCTGGCATTTATGGGGCAGGCATCGTATGGCACAGCTGGTTAATGAAGGCACATGCATGTACACACACATGCACACACACACATACACATCTAGGGATCATGGACCAAACTCAACCAGGCCTCTTCCTCGAACTTCCAGAAACAAAAATTGACATACCTAGGGCAGGCATCGTATGGCACGATGGTTAAGCTACTGCCCGAGGCACCTGCATTCCATATCAGAGTGCCAGAGATCAAGTCCCACCTATGTTTCTAATCCAATGCTAATGTACCTGCTAATGTACCTAGAAGGCAGCAGATGGCCCAGGTGTTTGGGTCTCTGCCACCTGTGTGGGAAACTAGGGTGAGTTCTCTTCCCGGCTCCTGCCTGCAGCCTGGCCCGGTCCTGGCTGTGGCAAACATTTAGGGAGTTACCCAGCAGACAGAAGAGCTCTCTCCCCTTCTCCCTCTATCTCTGCCACTCTGTGCTCTATTTTATTTCATACTGGTTTCCAGACTGCATTAAAGTATGATGAAAAGGGGCCGGCACTGTGACGCAGCAGGTTAAAGACCTGGCCTGAAGCACCGGCATCCCATATGGGCGCCAGCTCTAGTCCCGGCTGCTCCTCTTCCCATCCAGCTCTCTGCTATGGCCTGGGATAGCAGTAGAAGATGACCCAAGTCCTTGGGCCCCTGCACCCATGTGGGAGACTTCGAAGAAGCTCCTGGTTTCGGATCGGCACAGCTCCGGCCGTTGCGGCCATCTGGGGAGTGAACCAGCGGATGGAAGACCTCTCTCTCTGTCTCTACCTCTCTCTGGAACTCTTTCAAATAAATAAGATAAATCTTAAAAAAAAAAAAGTATAATGAAAAAAGTTTGCTTTTTCTGTATTAATTTTATCTCATTTAAGCACAGGCAGAAAAATATAAATCAATCTGCTCTCACCAAACAAGCACAAAGTACAAGGCTATTCATTAAAGAGATTCCCAAAGCCAATTAATTACACAGAAACATGGAACTGACTCTGATCATGCAAACAAGGCCTGCAGAGTTGCCTTGTGACAGAATGGCAAGCCGCTGCCTAAAGTGCCAGCATCCCATATGGGTGCCGATTCTAGTCCCAGCTGCTCCATTTCCAATCCAGCTCTCTGCTATGGCTTGGGAAGGCAGGAGAAGATGGCCCAGGTCCTTGAGCTCCTGCACCCTCATGGGAAGATCCAGAGGAAGCTCCTGGCTTCAGATTGGCACAGCTCCGGCTGTTGGGGCCAATTTGGGAGTGAACCAGGGGATGGAAGACCTCTCTCTCTCTCTCTCTCTCTGCCTCCTCTTCTCTCTCTGTGTAACTCTTTCAAATAAACAAATCTTTAAAAAAAAAAAGCATGTCCTGCTCCAATCTCACCATGAGACACAGAGATATCTGATTCTTCAAAAATTTTCACACTGAACAACTCTTATCCGAAAAGCAGATACAGGAAACACAAAACACTGGTCACCAACGTGATGCTCAGGATGTCTCAGGTTTCGGGGCATTTCGGATTTCAGATTTCCAGATGAGTGGTGCTCAGCCAGTCAACCCATGCAACTATCTCAGATCTGATAAATTCCCAAATCTGAAAGACTTCTGGTCTCAAGCATTCACATAAGGGATACTCAACCTGCATAGCGATACTCACCATCTCCTCCCGATGCTAAAATGTCCCCGGCTGGAGAAAAACGCACGACATTGACAGCTTTGGTGTGACGAGCAAGATTGGACAAAAATTCCACAATGGCTTTTCCATCTGGTCCCTTTTCTACCTTCCAGATCTGTCGATACCAAAACATGCATTCAAAAATCACACAGAGAGCACCCTACCATGTCATTGTACTAAACCAATACTACACTTATTTTCAGGAAGAAATTTTAGTTTTTCTTTTGAAACACAAAACAAAGGAAGATCTCCCATCTAAACATAAACCAGGAGACGGTGTTGTGGCACAGCAGGTTAAGCTGCCACTTGCAATGCCAGCATCCTATATGGGTGGTGGTTTGTGTGCAGGCTGCTCTACTTCCGATCCAGTCCTCTCCTAATAGCCTGGGAAAAGCCACAGAAGACGGCCCAACTGTTTGGGCCCCTGCATCCACATGGGAGACCAAGATGAAACTCCTGGTTTCAGCCCGACCCAGCCCTGGGTGTTGCGGACATCTAGGGAGTGAACCAGGGGATGCAGATCTCTCTCTCTCTGCCTTTTCTTCTCTCTGTAACTCTTTCAAATACACAAACGAACCTAAAAAATAAATAGGTAAACCAACAGTCCCACGTCTGCTGTCCTCTCACTGCTGCCTCGGGGGAAGCCAGCTCAGCATTCAATCACAGTGGGTGTCCAGTACAACGTCGTAGGGAACAGGACTAGGAAGAGATTCTCTTCTGCTCTCCATGTTCACCGAGGCCCTGAGAACTGCGCACTCTGGGCTACGTGACTACAGAGCTGGAGTGTGTTAACGCTGTTGTTAAACAGAATGAGAGCTGCCGTATCAAGTGCTGCTTCCCAGGGTCTGCCTCGGTGCGCCTGGCTTACCCTGACGGCGGTGTCCACGCCGGCCGAGGCCAGCCTGTGGATCCTCCCGGCAGAGCCGTGCTGGAAGTCCAGGCTGTACACCGGCTCCTTGTTGTGCCAGGCAATCTCACACGTGATGACTTTCATCCTCCTGAGTCTTGAAAGGGCAGGGGATTCCCCAAGCAATGTTCTTTCCAGAAGACAGAAGAAAGCTGCAAAAAACAAACTGCTGGTGATGAATTAAATAACAGCATTAGAACAGCAGGGGTTTACGCAGCACTATGTGCAGAGGATCAGAACCACCTAAAACGCACAAGGGGCGAGAGCCTGGGGGGCCTGCCACACCCGAGGGCCCGGGTTCCAGTACCCACCCTGCCCCCTGCTTGGTGCACCCTGGGAAGGCAGCAGGTGACAGCTCACGGACTTGGGCCCTCGCCACCCAGGTGGGAGCCCAGAACCAAGTTCCGGCTTCGGCCTGGCTTGGTGATGGCTGGCTTTTTCGGGAGCAATCCAGGCATGGAAGATCTGTCTATTTCTGTCTCTGCCTTTCAAATAAAAAATAAATTTAAACATTTGTACATCCTCTCTGGGAAGAGGACGTGAATGCTGCCATCTGCCATTAACCCCCTAAGGCTCCACGTAAAATTCTTCCTCGAGCCCGGGGAAAAGGAAACACCCAGGCAGAGGCGACCCAGGCGCCCGCCTGGGGTGGGGGTCCCCCGGGGCCGGGACCCCTCGGACGAGGGCGTCCCCTGGGGCGGAAAGCCGCGCGGGCGAGCAGCCCCGGACAGCGGCGAGAGGGGCCCTCCCGCCCCCAGGGACCGGGAAGCCGGGAGCCGGCCTGGCCGGGCGAGGCCGCGCAGGTCCAGGGCCGGGCCTGGGCCGCCGCCGGCAGCCCCGACGCGCGCCGCTCGGGACCTACCCCGGCCACAGCGGCCCGCCCGCCTGCCCTCCGGGAGCACCCCTCTCCCCGGCGGGACTCGGCCCGGAGGACCGCGGGGCCGCGGAGCCGGCCACCGGGAACCAGTACCTCAGGGACGCGGCCAGCCGCCGGCGCCGCCACCTCCCACCGCCGCCGCGCGCGCCGTTTCCCGCGCGCCGCAGGCCCCGCCTTCGGGAGGGCGGGATCACGTCGGCCCCGCCTCCCGGTGGGTGGGGCCTGGGACGCCCCGCCCCGCCCTGGGTCCGGAGCAGGTCCGGCGCCGCCCGGTAGACAGGAACCCGGGTCGCCAGCGGGCGGCGCGCTGATTCCAGCCAGCTCTGCGCTCGGTGGGGCCCGGCTCCGTGCGGCGGTTCCTCGCTGGTCCTTTCTCTTAGCAAACACCTGCCGAGCGTCTGCCTGCCGTAGGCTCGACCCTGTGCTGGCGCTGGGGTCGCGGCGGAGCGCAGAGCGGGCTGACTCGCCCGCAGGGAATTCCCGGTCCCTGAAAAGCAAGGCCCTTCCTAAGGACGCCCAAAGACCAAAGTGTGAAAGTTCTCTGGTGCGGCGGGGAGCTGCCGCTGTCACCCTGGCAGCCGCATCCTGGTCTCCAGAGTTTCAAGTGTCAACGAAACGGAACGCCCACGAACAGACGGAGTGCACAAGGCTGGAAGGAGCAAGGCGCTCTTACTGTTCCCAGCACAGGCGATTTGGGAGTTCAAAGCTCCCGGAAGTTGGAAGTGACATTTAAGGTGGACTTCAGGTGGCAGAATTTTAGCCGGAAACCTGGCTGCACGCATCAAACTGGTGTTAGTCTGTGAGCTTGGTCAAGGGGATTGGCTGAAGATAGACAGACACCCTCCATGTACTGACAGCGAGTCGAGGCACTCCGTAAAATCAAGGAGGTTCGGTGCAACCTCATGGGACATAGCCTAGAACTTCCCAGGACTCTCACTCTCTCTCTCTCTCTCTCTCTCTCACACACACACACACACACACAGCTATGAGTATTATCGCATTGGACCCAACCTGGTTCAAAAACTGAGATTTCTGTGTATTATACATTGGTTTCTTTTCAAGATTTTACTTATTTATTTGAGAGGTAGAGTTACAGACTGTGACAGGGAGAGACAGAGAAAGGTCTCCCTTCAGCTGGTTCACTCCCCCAATGGCCACAACGGCCAGAGCTGCACTGATCCGAAGCCAGAAGCCAGGAGCTTCTTCCGGGTCTCCCACGTGGGTGCAGGGGCCCAAGGACTTGTGCCATCTTCCACTGCTCTCCCAGGCCATAGCAGAGAGCTGGATGGGAAGAGGAGCAGCGGGGACTAGAACCAGTGTCCATATGGGATGCTGGCGCTGCAGACAGAGGATTAACCTACTGCACCACAGCGCCAGCCCCCTATACATTGGTTTCTAGAGCATTTTGGAAAAATTCAGAGATGAAATTGTTCAGTACCCAAGCCAGGATGACATATATTATATTTACATAGAAGTGGTTATAAACATTTTTTGACTCAACTATATTAACATTTTTAAAAAGATTTATTTATTTGAAAGGCAGAATCAGAGAGAGGAGGAGAGACAGAGAACTTCCATCCACAGGCTCACTCCTCAAATGGCCACAACAGTGGGAGCTGAAACAGGCCAACGCCAGGAGCCGGGAGCTTCTTCCGGGTGTCCCACTCTGTTGCAGGAGTCCAAGCACTTGAGCCATCTTCCACTGCTCTCCCAGGCACACGATAGGGAGGTGGATCAGAAGTACAGCAGCCAAGATTCGAATCAGTGCCCATACGGGATGTTGGCACTGCAGGCCACAGCTTAACCTGCTGTGTTCCACAGCACCAGCCCCTATAAACATTTTTGAAAAAGCAGTATTTAGCCATTTAAAGTGAGCTTGTGAGTCAATCAGTAGGCATAGACAGAAATAGTAGGCCTTTTTGTTAATGATCATAGTCTTAAAATTTTTACTTAAAAGGCAGGAAGAGATCCTCCACCTGTTCACTTCCCAAATGCCTGCACAGCCATGTCTAGGCAGGCCAAAGTCAGAAGTCCAGAACTCAGTCCCGGTCTCCCACATGGGTGGCAGGGACCCAAGTACTTACCTTTTGCCTCCCAGGATTCACATTAGCAGAAAGCTGGACAGGAAGTAGAGAAGCTGGGGCTTCAACCAGGTACTCCAAAAATGGGATGTGGGGGTTCCAAGCAGCCTTGACCGCTGCGCCCAATGTCTGCCTAGGGCAGGCCTCTGACTTAAGTTTCTAAGCGAGACCTCATTTCTCTGTGAGCCTCCTGAAGGCCAGTAAACAAATACCTTGAGAGGTATAGTCTCAAACTGATACAAAGCACACACGGGTTCATCTGAGAAGCCAAGTTTCCTGGCATTTCGAGGGAAAAGAATGGATGTGGGTTCTTAAGTACTTACTCAGTCTCAGGAAAGGCACACGAGTGTCTCACGTTGACCAGAATGGCCGGCTGCTCCTTGAACCCCGGATTCTGCAGGGAGCCAGAACAACCTAATCTGGATCCGCAGCACCTCCATGGCTGGAAATGGCTGCACACTTGATAATCTGGCTGCTTTCAAAGCACAGAGACCTGGCCTTCCCAGACCCACAGCTTCAGGGAAACCAGCGGCCTGGATTTTGGCCAGCTCCCTGGTAAGTCGGGTAATCAGCCTAGCTTCGAAGGTAGATTGGGTATCTCCATATGGTTTCTCCAAGTTTTTAGAACATGTTGATTCAAAACCCACCTTCCTCTAAAGTACCAGAATGGACTGTGCATGAAAAAGATAAAGCACAAGCCTGAGCCACCAAAAACACATGAAGGAGTGGACTTTCTTGGGAAAGATTTTAGGGTCCGTATCAGTTCCTGACTGGTGGGCCAGCACACCCTGAAGGAGGTGCGGAGGGAGGGCCAGGCCGTGTCAAACGCACACTGAACAAACACTGGGCTACGTGTGTCCCCCAACACGGTATCCTAACTGGAGGCCTCAACCACTGCGTTTTACTGGGGGCCCAGGTAGCCATCTTCAGCAGGACGGCCGCAGTTAAGAAAGACCACTGCTATCTGGCCCCCGAGATCTTTAAAAATATTTATTTTGTATTTGTTTGAAAGGCAGAGTGCCACAGAGGGAAAGAGAGGTCTTCCAACTGCTGGTTCACTCCCCAGTTGGCCACAACAAATGGGGCTGGGCCAGGCTGAAGACTCCATCCAGCTCTCTCCAGAGCTCCATCCAGGTCTCCCACATGGATAGCAGGGGCCAAAGTACTTGGGCCATCTTCCACTGCTTTCCCAGGAGCATTAGCAGGGAACTGGATCAGAAGCAGAGCAACTGGGACTCAAACCGGCTCTCCGATATGGAATGGCACTGTCACATGTGGTACTTAACCCACTGTGCCAGCCACAACTTCCAGTCTCCTGAGATCTTTTTAATAATGAAAATAGAAATAATTATTGAAAGAATTACACAGAGAGTGAAGGAGAGGCAGAGACAGACAGAGAATTCTTCCATCTGCTGGTTCACTCTCCAATTGGCCACTATGGCTGGAACTGCGCCGATCCAAAGCCAGGAGCCAGGAGCCACAGGCGCAGGGGCTGAAGGACTTGGGCCATCTTCTACTGCTTTCCCAGGCCACAGCAGAGAGCTGGATCAGAAGTGGAGCAGCCGGGACTCAAACCAGTGCCCATATGGGATGCCGGGACTGCAGGCAGCAGCTTTACCCACTATGCCACAGCACTGGCCCCAAAAGGAAATAATTCTTAATCTAGCTTGAAGAACAACAAACATTTGAAATCCACTTTATTGTCATTTCCTTTTATAAGTGTAAAAACTCTGGGATCAACACCTGAAATCAGAATAAGAACCAACAGAAACATACTACGGACTTGGGAGAGAGGAGTGCACATCAACATCAGAGACGGAAAGCTCACTGCAGGGTTGGGAGAAACGTTGTAGAAATTAGTTCAGCAAGAGAAAGAGGTGAGAGAGTACAGGAGAGTGGGGGCGACGAGAACTCTGGCTCACTGCCGTGGAGGCTCACTGTCCAGCTGCTAATAAAGGGATGTCCCTTTGACCCAGCAATTCCACCTCCTGCTGCATACGTGAAAAATGAAAGCAAATTAAGAAGTTTATCATGGCTTTATTCATTAAAGCCCAAACTAGAGAGACACAAAACGTCTGTGAGTAGAACTGAACTGTGATATACAATGGCATTCTTTTCAGCAATCAAAAGGAACTACTTGAATCACAGAGAGGAGAGACAGAGACAAAGATCTTCAATCCACTGGTTCACTGGCTGCAATGGCTGGGACTGGGCCACACCAAAGCCAGGAGCCAGCAGCTTCCTCTGGTCTCCCACGTGGGTGCAGGGGCCCAAGCACTTGGGCCATGTTCCTCTGCTTTCCCAGGTGGACTAGCAGGGAGCTGTATCTGAAGTGGAGCAGCGGGGATTCAAACCAGTGCCAGCATTGCAGACGCTGGTGTAACCTGCTGTGTCACAGCACCAGCCCCATACTTTCTGGTTTTTAAACACTTTTATCTTTTTTTTTTTTTTTTTTTTTTTTGAAAGACAAAGAGAAAGAGATCTTCCTTCTGTTGATTCACTCCTCAGATGCGCACAACAGCCAGGCTGCAGCCCGAGTTGGAAGAGTCACACATAGGCTGATTTCAGACTTGCTAGGAAACCACTCATCCACACAGTGTGGTTCTGCCTTAAGGACAAACACACAATCAGTGGAATAGACGACAGAGCTCAGGAACAGATCCTCACGTATGAGGGGACTTCAAAGTGTTCACGGAAAGCTGAAACTACATAAGCAATAAAAATGCAAGGTTTCTCAGCACAAGCTCCGACATGGTCCGGACACTTCTGTAAGCAGTGAACCCAGCCATTTACACAACGCAACAGAACTAAGTGTTCTGAATTTAACGCCAATGCATTTCACACTGTTAACTGAAAAACAATGTGCCATAAAATTATTTGAGGCTTTTTTCCAAAAACTTATTTATAGGCCAGCTTTGTGGCACGGTGAGTTAAGCCACTGCCTGTGAGGCCAGCATCCCATACGGGTGCCAGTTGGAGACCCGGCTCCTCCACTTGTGATCAACCTCCATAGTAATGCACCTGAGAAAGCAGTGGAAGATGGCCCAAGTGCTT